AAAACGTGTGTCTTTTAAAACAGATTGCTGCATTACGTGAGCAAAATCCTTCTGTTCTAATGGTCATAATGATCACACCATTTTATACATATTCATATTTCGAGCTTCTCTCCTACTAGTGGGGAGAGACTGCTCAAACTAAGACACAACATTACTACTTCACAGCTCTAACACCGACACTGTCCTTTCTTTGGTCTTGTTTGGGGTGACAGACATCAGAAAGGAACAAAATTAGTGACATAATGGCCAAGCAAAAGAGTATATAAAAAATAACAAGCATTATATTGCAAGGAAATTTTATCTAGCAAGTTTAATATAAATGAATGGTATTAATCAGGTGTATTCCCTTAAATAACAACAAATGTTCAGCATCGTGATTCACAATCCTTGAAAAGTTGCCCAATAATTGTGAGCAATTTGCTAAGAATGAGATAAAAAACATATTTTTGCTTGCTATTATTGAAGAGACAGCTCCAATTTGTTGTCCCCCCCCCTGCCCCCAAGTAAAAGAGACTCAGTCACATGTTATTTATGCACACTCAAAAGGGTCCTTCACCACTCTCTCCACTGAATCATTTGTTTGTTGGTTAAGGCTCCTTCATTAAGCTCCTGTTCAACCAAGGGAGCAATTTGTCATTCTTCAACTTGCAACTCTTCAACTTAGATATCAGCTGAATGACTGATATGGCATATTTAGCATTTAGGGAACTGTCTGTGTGAGCTCATTAGAATGCACACAAGGCAATTTCAGGCTTTACTTTTTTTTCAGATGGATGAAATTAAACCCTTCTTCCCCCAGGCAAAGATCTGGGTCAAAACCAGCCGGCAGTAGTCTCTTTCTCACATTCAGATCTAGGCAAGCATTTTCCAAAAATTCCCAGATTGGAAAAATCTCAAACTCCACTTGATATGAGTATAGAAAGTTTTGCAGAGTCCATTTTCATTTTGTCCTGATTACATCTTTGCTCCAATCCAATCTGTGCCTTATTTTATCTTATTTGTGTGTTGTTAGTTTTAATCTGTGCCAGGGTCTCCTATTTCTTGTACTGGACAGCACAGTGTGTGAAACTCCCCAAGGCAAACACAATTTAAGTTCAACTTAGAGACTTAAGCAACTGGCAAGGAACTAAATCTGTATTGTAATTCAGGAACCATAGCCTTTAAAACCTGGTGATAGCAACTGAACAGTTGGAGGCTAAAACTGAACATAGATCTCCTCTTCCCATATCAATGTGCTCCTTTCTTGCATCTCACTTTTTAATGGAGCTCTTGCTTCCAGTTTCTTATGCACATTGTAAGTGGCAACTGCATGTTTACATTCTCAACATTCTTGCTCTGAGAACCATTTACCAGTAAAGAATATGAATGTACTGTCGAAGGCTTTCACGGCCGGCATACGATGGCTGGTGTGGGTCTTCCGGGCTGTGTGGCCGTGTTCTGGAGGTTTTGTTTCCTAACGTT